CAGGGGAAGCCAAACCCAGGCCATCCCCTAAAGCCGAAGCTCAAGGAGGGAGATGCAGGGGCCAACACAGGACAAGGCAGTCAAAGTCGGGGTGAATCCAAGAGATGCCAAGCCTGAAAGTGAGAACAAGCGTGTGGGCGCCTACCAGAAAGAATGTGCCACTCACTGGCGTGCGGGTCAAGGCCTGCAGGCTCGCTGGTGCTCCTGACGACCCTGCGAGCATCTCTCAGTCACCGTCACCTTTATGTAATGTACACACAGGCTGAGACCAGTGGGCGGAATTCGGAGAAGACCCAAGATCCCAGCCCCTGTCACAGGCACCCTGGGTGAGCCTCTATCCTGACGGGATGGGACAGTTGTCCCCTGCAGGTGACACTGTACAGTGAAGGCGATGGTGATGGGATGGTCACTCCTGCGACGGCATTCCGTTACAAGAGTCGGTGGCAGGGGCGCCTGGGTGGCTCAGTGAGTTAAAAAGAGTCCGTGGCAACAGATAATCCAGTTGGCCTTGAAGAAGCAAGCCACCAGGACCTCCACAGCTGCAGGAAAAGGAACCACGTAAGCTTGGACGAGGACTTGAAGCTCTGGTGTGACCCCGGCCCTGGCCAACGCCTTGACTACAGCCACGGAAGACCCCAAGTGGAGAATCCAGCTGGACCGTGTCCCGATTCCCAACCCTGGCGACTGCGAGGCCATGACCGGGAACTGTTTTGGACTGTCAGGTTTGGGCTAACTTGTTCCACAGCGGCTGCTAACGGATACAGGGACCTGCTGCAGAACTGGGACACAGGGGATGCCTGACGCCCCTTGGAAGGACTTCACTGGATGGACCATCCACAGGGACCAGAAAGTCCAGCCCAAGAAACCACTGAGAAAGGCAAATAGGAACCCCCATGGCAGACAGGCATAAAAGGTGCTGAATGGAGACGAGGAAGCGAGGACATGGGGAGCTGCTGTGGGGGACGGAGGGAAGGTACAACCACACTCCAGGACAGCGGCGGCCTCTGGGGAATTCCAGGTCAAGATCCGAAGGGGAAGGGAACGTGGACGGAGAGGAGAGGTGCAGGGAGGTCACTGTTCAGCATGGACACCGCATAAAACAGAAGACAAAGTCCTGCGGCCTTGGCCCCGTGTTTGTTTGGGGGAGGCACAAAAAAAAATTAAAAGAACTCTAATGAGCATTTTCATACGCTTGACTTGGGAACTCTGGATGGAAACAACAACAATAAAAAACATTCACTCCCGAGCCACCCTCTGGAAACCATAGCCAGATTCTCTCCCCGGGGCCCTGCCTGGCGCACAGACGCATCCATCTCGTGCCAGACTGAGGCAGCTCCCAGGATGGCGAGGGAGCCAGGAGCCACTGCCAGCAGAGCCGTCTGCTCACCGATTCCCACAGGCTGGGCGGCACAGCTTCCAGAAGGGGACTGCGGGAGGCAGGCGGCCGTCTGTCCGTGCGGAGGGCAGCGGGGAGAATGTGGAGAACTAGACCTCCTTCGCTCTGCATTAGTTGGCTTCGCTCTGGGCACGAGGTGATTAGCTCCTGCGAGGTCCCCAGGAAGGTCCTCCGAGAAACTGTCTGAATCACAATGCTGACCCTGCGGAGTGTGCCCGAAGCTGTCTGCATCCCACAGGGCTGCAGCTGGGAAAAGGACGGGGTTGCTCCAGGTCACAGAGTGTCCCCGGTGGCGGCCCTCCCAGGGGCCCAGCGTGACAGAGTGGACACTGCACCTGCAGGAAGTCCAGCTAAGTCTGGGCTGTGAACTGACACGAATGCGAACATCTCACGAGGACCAAACGTCGTGATGGCTCTTTCAGCCTGTCATGAGCCGGGCTCCATGCAGGGAGCCCCGACTCAGCCCCTCCACGACCCTAGAAGGTCCGAGTTGTATGTGTTTGACAGACGGAACGAAAGAGACCCACGGAAGTGTAGTAAGGCACAGAGGCAAAGGAGCTCAGCGGCTCAGGTAGGAGCCAGACTGTGAATGTACGCCTGCCTTGTGTCCAAACCCCCGCTGTCTCCTCCACACCTTGCTCTTTCTCATCCAGGGACACACTGCACTGCAGGGCCAGGACAAAGCTAACATACTGCAGCAGCTGAAATGTCATGCCCAAGCAGGGAACTAAGGCCCCGTCCCTAAGGGGAGCACCGCCGCTGGTGAGGGATGGGACAAAAGCACATGCACCTGCCACGTAGGGTGGAGCCACGTGGCCCACAGAGGTGAGCTAAGGGCTTCCCGCCAGAGAGAGGGAAGTCACAAACGTCTGGGGGCAGGACCACTGAGCTGGCCCGGCAGGAAATGGAACTGGCTTCAAGAAAGAGCCTGGCCAGGGAGTGGGATAAACACAACCCATGCAAGAGTGGGGCGGCAGTGGGGAGAGGATGGGGCAGCCATGGAGGGGGAAGGTGGAGAGCAGGCAAGATGGGACCAGAGCAAGAGGCACAGGAGTGCTCTGAGACCGTGTCCATCTGACGGTGGGGATGGAAACCTGAGTGGGAAGGAGGGTGGCTTGGATAACAACTGACACAGGACAGGGGAGGGATAAGGACCTGAGCTATGGGGCCACTAGGGGAAACTGGGGAAGAGGAGCAGCTGAGGCCCAGAAGACCCGCCCATGTGACTCAGCCATTTCCTGGCCATGGCTGAGTCAAAGAGAACTACCGAAAGATGAAAGCTTTCAATGAAGGGTGGACAGAGGGGAGTGGGGAAAGGAGTATCCTGCTAACCCCAGGCTTCCTGCCTGCCAGCAACTCTTCAGAACCAATCTGAAGCATGGAGAAATCCCCTCTTCCCCAGACAAGCAAACACAACGGACTATTCCATTAGTACTTCTTCTAAAAGCCTGGAAACAAAGGCTTGAAAATGCAAATCAACACACAGCCACGAATGAGATGCAGTCAAAGCTTAAACCAGAACACCAGAATTTCTCCTGTGTGGCTACAACACTTAGAAAGCAGGACGGTGTTGTCTGCCTAAAAATGGGGGGAAAATGTCAAGGTGGGGGAAGAGGGACTAAGAGGGGAACCCAAGAGGATAAGCTCAGAGCCCAGATTCCCGGTTCCAGGCCAGGGTTTCCCAGCGTTCACAAGGGCATGGGGGGAGGCCTGCTGGGGGCAGTGACAAGGGATTCCCATGGTCAGCACACATCCAGGGGACACCACCCAAAGTCAGCAGGGCTCCTCAGTCCTGGTCCTGGCACCGGTCTCCAGAATGCCAGGGTCGGGGCATCCCATGACAAATACAGGTGTGGGAGGCAACAAAGGCCTCGCTTCAAATTTAGTACCTGCCACGCGCAACCTTGGGCCTCAGGCTCCTCCCCGTAAACTGGGAAAAAACCCCTCCTGGCACAGCTGAGAGGAGTGAATATGGCAATATGCAGAGGTGACTTCCCTCCCCCTTGTGAGGTCCTCTCCAGTTCCCAACTGTGCAGAAAAAGGGCCTGTATTGGCTGCCAGGTACTCACATTTGCACATCACTGCTACTTGTGAGTTCTGAAATGAAATAATTCCAAACACTATGCTGTCCGCTAAGTAAGGGCAGTTTGGTAAAAAAAAAAAAAAAAAAGTAGTTCTTTGCACCAAAGACAATCTAAGTGAGACAGCTAAATACTTTCTCCTGGGCATAAGCCCTGCCAAGGGCAGGCCTCAGGGATGGAAGAAACTCCCACTCCAGGGGAGCACTGGAGGGAGGCTTGGGGTAGGAGATGCACCTGTAGACACAGCCCCCCTTGTGGCCTCCACGGTGGTCAGCAAGCCCTTCTTCCAGCACTTCCTCCCCCAAAGAGCCTCCATAGAGTGGACTTCCACTTCCTCCCCTCTTTGCCTCCACCCAGAGAGCCAAGCTCGAAAACATAAAATACAGCCCGTGACTGCCCCCACTTGGGAGTCCGGCTGATTCCAGCCTTTAAGCCCTAACCCAAACCCCGAGCAACCCAACACCCCAGGGACAGGGAAAATCCATCATCATCCCCAAAGGTATCATTAAAATGAGGACCCAGCGCCTGAAATAAGACCTCTCTGATTTTTCCGGGCCATTATTTCCCTATACATAAAATCTTTACAAATACTGTATGCCACAATAAAAGTGAATGTCTTCCCTCCTTTCACCCAAAGACATGAACCTTCAAAGACCTGTGAGTTTAACCAGAGAACATCCTGCTCTAGGTAATGAATGGCAGACCCCAGTTTCTGAACACACATTCCCTTTCCCAATTGGTGTTCTTCTTCCTAACAATATGAAACAGATTTTTTCCCCCGGCAAAGAACAATATCCTTGAAACTCCATTTACTTTTTTAGACTATAAAAGTCTGAATTTAAGACTGGTGCCTTAGGGTACAATATATTATATAATAAGAATATATTATGTAATGGAGAACTAAATCTTCTGTAAACAAAATACCCAAAAGAAGGCCTTCGTTTTTGGCAAAGAAAAATAAAAATGCCCTTGGGTCTGCTAGTGACTACAGCAACTGAGGACTAGAGCCTGAGGAATTATTTTTAACGGAGCATCCCGCAAGATTTTGCACAGGCACACACAAAAAAACCCCCAAAAATACAAAACAAAAAAAAAACCCACCTTGAACCCAGGAGGTGGGACGTCTGTTTCAAATCAGCAACGGGCTTACCGCAGGACACCGTACCAAGAGCCGGAGGGAAAAGCAAGAGCACGAGACAAAGAGTATTTTTTCAGAAAGGGAAAATCTGGAAGGAAGTCTCTAAAGATGTTCAAAGTGGGGAAGCGAGGAGGGCGGTGGAATCCTGGCAACGACCTTCCTTCTTTTCGAAATTTTATACAACGTTATGAAAGCTCCTGATGGTTAAACATGTTCATGAACGTGGACGCGCTACCTTTGTACATGCTTGCGGTGTGATTTTTAAAGCTCTCACTGAACGCACCGGTGTATCCTCTCTTCCGAGGGTTCTCCCTTCCAGAAAGGAACAAGAGTCTTTCAACCTGCTTGGGAGAAAGACTCAGGAACGAAAATCGAGGCCGCTTACCTGAGGTTTACCTTTCGCTCTTCATCGCTGCCAGCCTCCAACTGCGGAGAAAGAAAGACAGTGTCACACCACAGACGCCACTAGCAACGAGCCTCACACACAGACACAAGTCTCACGTTTTCTGCTCTGATGCCTGACAGAGACACAGATGTCCAGGAAACCTGGCTCCATCCACAGGGTCGCACCCTTTCCTCAGCAACCCTGCTCCACCCGCCCTCGTCCCGCTGAGAACTTTCCATGGAGGGACTTTTCAGGTTTCCCAGCATTTATCCACATTCCTTCCACAGTGTCCCGCGCTGATTCCTATTCACTGGACACTCCTACCTGGCCCTGCTCACCCACACGCTCATCTCAACTTTCCACGGTGGTTTGCGATCTCACCCTGTTTTGTCTTTTTAAAGATTTTATTTATTTGCCGGAGAGAGCTTGCCAGCGAACGCAAGCAGGGGGAGCGTCAGGCAGAGGGAGAAGCAGGCTCTCTGCTCAGCAGGGAGCCCAGTGCGGGGTCCATCCCAAGACCCTGGGATCATGACCTGAGCCTAAGGCAGACGCTTAACTCACTCAGCTACCAAGGCGCCCCCTCACCCTGTTTTTTTTAACGGTGGGGGGGGAGGGGAGGGCGTGATGTTTTAAGAGGAATCTATTTCCTCCTTCAAGCCAGGTAATAACTGAGTGATCAATATCATTTTCAGCTCCAACACATGGGTTTTAAAAAAAAGAAAAAAGAAAAATCATTCTGGGCAAGCCTTTCACCATGGAAGGGGGCCAGGAGCAGCCCGTCTGTCTGTGGGTCTCAAAAGCTCTTGGTGGTTCCCCAAAAGGCTTAAATGTTTAACATAAAACTTTCTAGGCTATTGGTTTATTTGTATAAGCAAAAGAAACGGACATTTAATATATTCTAAAAGTTTAAAGGCCAAGAGGGTTAGAATCTACAAGTAACAGGGACTTAAGCCCTGATTGCAATTTTTCTTTTTTTTCTTTTTCGCTTTCAATGAGAAAACTGAAATAAGAAAACACCCCCGCCCCCCAACAACTCTGCACCGCTGGGACCTGGCATGTTTTGATGTTCCACAGAGGAGCCCATTGAAGAGGAAAGAGAAACCTGGAAAGCAGCGATCCCTGGGAGAGATGCAAGGCTGAATGAGGACAGAGACCAGGCAGGAGTCCGCAGTAATGGGAAAAGGGTGAGGAGCTCACGTGGGAAGGGGCCTGTGGAGCAAGGGGCACAGAACAGGGGGGGCAGTCTCACAACGAAGAAAGAGGGGGACAGTGGAGAGTCCCGGGGTCCCTAAATGTTATGAAGATACTCTATGTACAGCATCGTGCAGCGGCGGGCACTGGTGGCCAGTCACTTGGTTTTCTCACGCTCCCTACCCCATGGGCAAAGGAGAAACGGAACCCATCAGGTGAGGCTGTGCTGACCACAGGACCATGAGCTTCTGTCCCTGAGCGCAGCACAAACAACTCACACAACCACTTAGAAGACAATGCTGGGTCTAACCCAGGGGTCCTCAACTGGGGATGATTTTTCTCAATAGGGGGATACTGGGCAATGTCTGGAGCCTTTTTCGAGAGGATGCTACTGGCATCTTGGGGGTGGAGGACAGGGTTACATTAAATACGCCACAATGCCCAAGACAACACCCCCCCACCCCCAACGACCAACGACCGTGAATTTTCTGGCCCCAACATGAGCAGTGGCAAGGCTGAGAAACCCTGATCCTGATCTAACCCCAACACACCACGCCCGACCCCCTCCTCTGCGTCCCCCCTCCCTTCGGCCAAAAAAAGACTCTGGAGATCTGCCCATAAAAATGAGTCACCTTGAACATTTGTCAAAAATAACAATGTTCCAATCCATTCCTGAAAGTTATTGATTTATTTGCTGTGGGGCTTTCTGCTTGTTCTCGCAAAGGAATGAGATAATATTAACAGGAAAGCGACATAAATGAGATAATTAAAGATGGGGTGGGGGCAGGGAGAAAAAACTAAGAGAGGAGAACTGCTTTGCTGGGCAGGCTGATCTCCCTCTCTGTTCCCACGCTAAACCAGCTGAGTCAGCTGAGTCAGCGGGGCTGAGTCTGACTCAGGGGAGGAGGTGCATTTCGAGGAGAGAGGAAGTGATTTAGGGGTACAGGCCTCAAAAAGACATTTAATTCTTGGTCATTCTCTGGGATTCCTGGAAATGAAATGGAGGTAACGTGCAGTCAGTTTTCCTAAGGAAGAAAGCTATACATGCCCAAGGACTCACATAGGAGGGAAGCCAGCCCTTTCGCAGGAGCTGAGGTCCAGGGAAGGTCAGACCTGAGGCTCGGACGGGCCTGGACCCAGGTCTCCTGAGTTCACATGCACGTGCCTGCTCTCTCCATACTGTCTTGCTTCTTCCTGCTTCACCCCATTTGAAAGCAAGCCTCGTCTTCTAGGGAACATCCCAACCTCGGCTAGTTTACTGGGCAACTGATGCTGCTGCTCTATTAACAGCCAATGAAATGAGGCCAAGGCGCCTGGGAGGCTCAGTGGGTTGAGCCTCTGCCTTCAGCTCGGGTCATGATCCTGGGGTCTTGGGATCAAGTCCCATGTCGGACTCTGCTCAGTCTGCTTCTCCCACCCCAACCCTGCTTGTGTTCTCTTCCTCAAATAAATAAATAAAATCTTTGGGGGAAAAAAAAAGGTGGCTGAGTTTTATTCTCATGTTTACTGGGTCACTGGCACTTGGTAAAAGTAATGCTCTATATAATAATTTGAAATGTGTCTCATAGAGATAACCCAAATGTCCAAAAAACATGTGATACATCCACCGAATGGAACATTATTTGGCAATAAAAAGCAATGAAGTATTGATCTGTGCTACGACATAGATGAACTCTGTAGACATCATGCTAAGTGGCAAAAGCCAGACACAAAGGGTCACATATTGTAGGATTGTGTTCATACGAAATGCCCAGAACGGGCACATCTATGGGAACAGCAAGTAGATCAGTGGGAACCTAGAGTTTGGTGAGAGCAGGGTGGGGGTGCTGAGAAGGGGGCTGCAGGTGGTGGCTAAGGGGCACGTGGCTTCTTTTTCAAAGTGATGAAGACTTCTAGCACCCGGTCGTGGGGACAGCTGCACAACCTTGTGAAGGTACCAAGTCACTGAATCATATACCAAGGAATGGTGAACGGATGATATGTGGATTATATCTCAGCTGAAAGATAACATGAAATTTTAAAAAATGTGTCTCCGACAGGAATAGATCAGGTGTGAGCTACGCAGGGAACATGGAGTTTAGAATCCGAAACCGAGGCTGAGGGGCCCTGTGTACAAGCCCTTACTGAAGTCCAACCCTTGCCTCACTTCACTGTTGAGAAGGCAGTCTGAGGTCAAGTGCAAGGAAACTCTCTGTAAACTGCAAGCTAGTGGTAATCACAATGATGGAGGAGAACAGGTATCTGTGTGGTGAGGAAAAAAGCCACTGTAGCCTCAAGTCTCAGCTGTAGGCAACTGGCCACCAGTGTCCTTTTCCCTGCACTTGACTCGCAGAGGAAGGATGAGGAGAATCCTGTCTGCAGACAAGGTAACTCATGAATGGCCTCTCCAGGAAAGGAGGGGGCTGTCGGGGGGGGGGTGTCCACCCTTACTGCCACTCTGAAAATGTTCCAGAGGCTCCTAGCAAAATCAGGCAGAAGAGCCACCCGGGGCCTGCAGGACAAATAGGCCTGCACCAAAACCAGTTCCTCTTCTCTCACACAAACCTTTCCGTGTTATCTGTCAACCTCCCCCACAGAGAAGGGGCTTGGAGGGCTTAGAGCTGCCAGGCCACTTCCTGGGACTGCAGGCCCCTCCTCCAGCCTTCTCTCCCTTCTCTAAACACTTCCCAATCTCCTCCTCCAGCTTCTCTGTCTTCAGGCCAACTCTCGGCCTTGCCATGGATAGGAGTTGAGACCAGAGGCCATAAACAGTTCTCCAAGAGAAGGGGGACGAGAGAGTCAGCCCTACAGTACCCTGAGGCCCCAAGTGCAGCCCAGGCCAACTGCCCACTCAGAAGACCCATTCCCCAGTCTACCCCGGAGCGAGGAGCCGGCCCACAGAGGCCTGATGGCAGAGATAGGCACAGAAACCGTCAGGGTGCAGCGATGTGTTCTCAGTCACCAGAATGCACCCCTGCAACCACAGTAAAACCCAGAATCGCCCCCAGCCACACAGCCAGATAAACACAAACATGCAGTCTCAAAGGATATCACAAAAAGGAAGATCCAGACTCACACAAAGACAAGACACCCAGTCACAGGGCGCCCTGAGCTCACTCAGTCACTGTCACACAGTGACAAGGGCACCCGACAGGCCAGCCACTCACACCAAGAGGCAGACCTCCAGGGGAATGCAGTCGAGGGAAACAATCTCAAACATTCACAGGGGCACCCCCGGGGGGCCTCTGTCACAGCATCAGGCAGGCACGGTTCCCAGGAGACAGGCCACAGTCACACACAAACTCACATACACAGTCAGGCACAGGGGGAGAGGGCCTAGACCAACCCCAGGACCACAGATCTCACAACCAGCATCTCCCAGTCACCCGTTAGGAGTCCCAGGGGCACAGCCAGTCTCCCACACCGTCACCCCCAGACGGGGATCACACACACAGCTACACACAGTCACCCCCAGACAGAGGTCACAGCCGCAGTACAGTCTCGCGGAAAGTCACCCCCCACACAAAGGTCACAGCTGCACACACAGCCACCCCCAGACGGGGTGACACTCTCCGTCCCCCGCACAGTAACCCAGGCCGACTGCCCAAGGCAGGGTCGCAGCGCGGGGCCCCTCCCCCGCAGGCCCGGACGCCCCCCGCCCCGCACTCGGGGCCCAGGCCTGGAGCTGCAGCTGCTCGGCCGAGCCGGGGCCGTGGGCCCGGGGCTCACCTCGCTGTTGCTGGCCGAGGAGGAGGCGGCGCTGGGCGTGGGCGAGCGCTGCAGGGTCACCAGGGCCATGGCTGCAGTGCAGCGCAAGGGCGCCGCCGAGGCCTCGGGCTAGAGCCTCCGCCGCCGCCGCCGCCCGGGCCGGGCCCGGGGCGCTCCAGCAGCCGCGCTCGGGCGGCCGGGCCGAGCCGGGCCGGGCCCGCCCCTCCCCCTCGGCGTCCGCCACCCCCGCCCCCTGCCTCCCGCGCCGGCGCGCGCCGGGCCCCCTGGGTCGGGGGGAGCGGGGAGGCGGGGCTCCGGGTGGCGCGCGTGCGCGGCGCGGGAGCCCGAAGCTGCTGCGGCGGCGGTGGACCGCGGAAGGCCCCGGGCGGGCCGTCACGTCCCACCCCGCACGCTCAGCAAGCACGCCCCCGCCCGCGCCCCTGGACCCTAGATCCTGGGGACCGGGGCCGCGCGCCCCCGCGGGCACGTCTCCCCGGGACACCCTCCCGCGGCGCAGACGGGGAAACCGAGGTCCCGCTACTGCGCAGGCAGGGTGACGCAGGGTCCAGGAAATAAACTCGCAGACCGGCAGTCTGCAGAAATTCATTCATTTGTGAAATGCTGAGCACCTTCTAAGTGTCAGGCACGGAAGAGTCAACAGTGTGCCAGAGAGAATGGGCCCGTCTTCAGGGATTTTACAGGAGTGAATCCAATTGCTAGGCACGTTTAAAAGTTATCTTGCTACTATTTTTTGTATGAATCTTATGTGGCCATAAACCCAGCCAACTCCTTGGGAAATCAGAGAAGGCTTTTCTGAGAAAAGAGTATTTGCTCCGAGGCCTGACGGAAGAGCAGGATTAACGGGTGACGGGAGGGCAGGGAGCCCTGGGGCTTGAGGGGGAACACCGCCTGCACAAAAGCCCGGAAACTGGAAGGAGGCTGTTTGTCGATCAGAGGCCAGGGCCTAGTGAAGGAAGCAAGAAAAGATTGGCACATCGAGGTGCGCTCTAGGAAGCTCTAGGCTCCCGGGCAGAGAATGGACTGTGTGGCAGAGGGTTTAATGGAGACCAGGGAAGGGGCTGGGCGGCCCTCTTGGGGGGATGTGACCAGTATGGGGATGAAGAGGTGGAGTACCGTAGCAGTCTAGTGGTACTGGTTCCATTCAGTGATAGGAAGCTTCTCTTTGGTTTCCGAAAAGCCCTCCTCTTCTGTCTCTACATGCACACTGCACTAGCACCCACAAATAGCATGGTCCAATCCTGCATTGTAGCAAAGCGCTCCACCAGCCAGCTCACAGCCCAACCACAAACCCGGGCAGCCCCCTGGACCCCTCCCCCAGATCCAGGGGCTGCAACCCCCTGCTGATTCCTGGGATCCGGCTCAGCAACATTCATATTAAAGGTGGTTCTCGGTGGGGGCATTTCAGCCCCTAAGAAACTTTTTTTTTTTTTTTTAAATCATAGGATATTTTTGGTTGTCTTGCTGATGGGGACTGGAAGGCCACAGACATTTAGAGGGTGGGAGGCAGGAATACTAAATGTCCTGCAATGCACTGGAGAGTACACCCAGATAATTGCTCCATTCCCACCGACCTTGACCTTGTGTCGGTGAGAAACCCATTCATAATTCTGTGGAGCTAGAACCTAACTCCTTTAGATACCAACACAAAGTCTCTTTCATTGAATTTTCAGAAATGCAACTATGTTTAAATAGAGGGAAAAGTATACTTGGAGAGCTTTGTCTGGAGTTTTTTACCATCTGGGAAAAATTTATGGATGCCAGCACTACTCCTAATATTAGAGTAGTTGACCCAGCACGTTTGATTTTGTCGCTGTGATCTTGGCTGACCAATGGTCATACTTTTTAGGGTTTATTATAAAATATCAATTATAACACAAAGTTAGGGACAAAAGTCAGTTGAATGATGAATATCTTACTTCCCAATCCAAACATATTCATTAAAAACAGATGCACTTAGCAGTGCCTGGGTGGCTCAGTGGGTTAAAGCCTCTGCCTTTGGCTCAGGTTGTGATCCTGGGGTCCTGGGATCGAACCCCGCATCCAGCTCTCTTTTCAGCGGGGAACCTGCTTCCTCCTCTCTCTCTCTGCCTGCCTCTCTGCCTACTTGTGATCTCTGTTTGTCAAATAAATAAATAAAATCTTAAAAAAAAAAAAAAGACGCAAGCTTCTGAGACTTTCCTGTGTTCTGGGAAGTTGTACCCAAGTATTTACATACTGAAATATGAGTTTTGCTATGATTTATTTTTCTTTTATGTCAACATTACAGTTAGTGGATTATGGATTTGGGGGGGTATTTTTTTATTTTTATTTTATTTATTTGAGAGAGAGACAGAGACAGCACAAGCCGGAGAGGGAGACGCAGACTCCCCGCTGAGCAGAGAGCCCAATACAGGACTAGACCCCAGGACCCTGGGATCATGACCTGAGCCAAAATCAAAAGCGATGTGGGGCATTAGGGTTCAGAGACTTTTGCCAACGTGTCGTGTTTTTTTGTTTTGTTTTGTTTTGTTTTTAAGATTTTATTTATTTACTTGACATAGAGAGAGAGATCTCAAGTAGGCAGAGAGGCAGGCGGGGGTGGAAGGGAAGAGCAGACTCCCCACCGAGCAGAGAGCCCCAGGAGCCTGAGATCAGGACCTGACCCAGCAGCCTGAGATCACAACCTGAGCCGAAGGCAGAAGCTTAACCCACTGAGCCACCCAGGTGCCCCAACACTAGCATTTTTTTAAAGTCAAGTGTTTGAAAATTCCCTGGAGAAAACACAGACTTCTAGGCCCCAACCTCTAGAGTTTCTGGTGCACTGTTTTCATGGGAGGCTGGAAATCTTGCATTTTTAAACAATTCCCTGAGGAAGCTAAAGATCCCAGTCTGGAGATTGCAGTTTGAGAACCACTACCTACACAAAAGTCAAGTCGTCCCTCCACTCTTCCTTCTACTCTCTTCCACCCAGTTTATCATAAAGACAGCCTCTGGTGCAAGTTCAGGGTCCTTTCCAGGATCCCATAACCCCCATTCTATCCCTGAAGACAGAGCAAGTGTCACTGGGCATTGTCATAAGTATCCCTGTCTTGTCACATGGTCCCTAAAAAAAACCTCAGGGGCAGGGCTGGGACCAAGATGAGGACACAAAATTTAAGGGGGCACCAAAAAACAAACAAATAAAAACCCACCTCAGTAAGTAACCTGAAAAATATTTTCATGCAACATATTCGGGAATCAAACTTGATGCCAAAATCCATGATGAACAAAATATCAACATTTTAAATAAAGACAGGGTCAGTACTGTATTACTGATTTTTCCTTTTGCCTCCAGACCACAGTAAGGCACAGAGGGAAACTTTTATGCTTTGATTTTTTTTTTTTTAAAGACTTTTATTTATTGGACACACAGAAAGAGAGAGCCTGCTTTGATTCTGTCTTTCAAATTCTGGTCACTCTAACCTCCTGTGCAAACGGTCTGGGGGCTTGACTCAACCTTGGCGCTAAGAGGGGTGATAGGGGAAAGAAGAAGTGAAAGCTATTTTCCGCTATTAAAAACAATACTTTGTTGAGTTATTTGCTGTCTGCTAGGTGCTATGCAAAATGCTTTGTGTGTGTGCTGGGGACACAGTTTATTAACACGTGACTGCCCCCACTCAGGCTGCAGGCTCACGTCCTCCAGGAAGCCTTCCCTGAAGGAGGCTGGATTAGGTGCCCCTTCTTTGTGCTGCTATGGCCTCAGTATTCTTTCTGGGTTGGGCTGCTTTCTTTATTTCTTGTCACTACTGTTGTGATCCTTATTTCATGGCTGAGGAAATTGATGCACAGAGTTGTCAAGTCACACACCCAAGGTCACATAGCTAGGGAGCAGAAGCTGGTATCCAAGATCGTGTTTTCTGCTTTCGAGTGCAAGACAGAGGTCTTTCCAGAACTCTATGGACCATTCCCTTTTTAGTTTATTATTATTTTTTTTATTTTTAATGATTTTATTTATTTATTTGCTAGAGGGAGAGAATGAGAGAACACAGGCTTGGGGGTGTGGGGAAGGAGCAGAGGGAGAAGGAGAAGCAGCCTCCCTTGCTGAGCAGGAAGCCGGGAGGTGGTGGAGGGGCTCATCCCAGGATCTTGAGATCATGACCTGAGCCAAAGGCTAAAGCTTAACCCACTGACCCTTCCAGGTGCCCCTTAGGGCAAACTAATTTGCAATTCCTCTTTAATTATTGGGAATTGAAATTCAGAGGTAATGAAGCTTCGGTAGGCTAAATAATGACCCTTCAAAAAAAAAAATGTCTGTATCCCAATCCTCAGAACTTGTGAATATGTTACCTGACCCTGGTAAGAGGGATATTGCAGGTGCGATTAAATTAAGGCTATTGAGATGGGGAGAGTATCCAGGTTTATCCAAGTGGCCCTGATATAATCCCAAACGTCTTTATAAGAAGGAGGTGGCAGGGAGCTCCTGGGTGGCTCAGTGGTTTAAAGCCTTTGCCTTCGGCTCAGGTCATGATCCCAGGCATCGGGCTCTGCTCTGCTGGGAGCCTGCTTCCTTCTTTCTCTCTCTCTCTGACTGCCTCTCTGCCTACTTGTGATCTCTGTCTGTCAAAATAAATAAAAAATCTTTAAAACAAACAAACAAAAAAAAGAGGTAGCAGGATCAGAGTGAGCTGAAAGAGACCTAACAACAAAAGGAAGAGGTTGGAGGGATGTAAGTAAGACCCTGAGCCAAGGCCTCTAGAAGCAGAAAAAGGCAAGCAAATGGATTCTCTACTCACTGTCTCCGGAAGAACTCAGCCCTACCTGATTTCAGAATTCTAGCCTCTAGAACTACAAGAGAAAAAAATCTCCTGTAGTTTTAAGCCACTATGTTTCTGGTAATCAGGGATAGCAGTCATAGACAATGAATATGAAAACCTACCTGCATATATACTGTAAGAAAAAAAAATCATTATAATGTCATAATGCAGTATATACCAGACACTTTCTGGATATTGTATCACTTTCTCATTTACTCAGTTCATTCAACAGGTGTGTATGGAGTGTCTCTGCTGTCCATAGGAATTTGGGGTTCACAAGTGAATGGAACAGTCACTCTGTATTGAGGGTGTTCAGTCAAGCTGGGGAGGGGGATAGAGCCAAACAACATATAAACAA